TTGTTTTTGTGTACTTTTATTTGGATTTTTAGGTGTTTAGAGATATGTCATCGCTCTCTTGCTTCAATTTTCTCAATGCAGTTGGAAATTGTAATTTTAAGGTGAAAAAAAATATTTTATTGCTTTGCTTTTTGTAGTTTATTTGGATTTTTAGCCTTTTCACTTTCATGTTATCTACCAATGTTATCAGCGGTATATCGATAATGTTGATATTCGTAAGTATCGAAAACAAGTCAATATGTGCTTTTATTAACAAGTCAATACTTACGTATAAAGGCACATATTGACTTGTTTTCGATACTTACGAATATCAACTAGTGGTGAAGCCATAGCGGCCAGCGCAAGGAGTTGTGGCCGCACCTCCGGTCATGGGAAATCTCCATGACGAGCGAGGAATCTGCCCCTCTGAAACTGCACGGAAGGTGTTCGACGATGGACTTGGATTGTCTGCCCTCCCATTTCAGTGCCCTTCCCGTGCCCTCTTGTTTTGTGTGGTCACGGTTAAGTCACGTCAATATTTTATATTATTTTTTTATAAAAATAATAAAACAAAAAGAAATAATAATATAAAATGTTGACGTGGCTTAACCGTGACCACAAAAACATGAGGGCATGGGAAGGGCATGGAAATTGGAGGGCAGACAATCCAAGTCCGTTCGACGATATACTTGAAATTGACTAAGAAATCTGAGCTCATATTGGCTTGTAGGCGAGCTTACGCCATTGGAATTGTCGCTAATCGCAGTGGAATTGGATGCAATGCAATCGGAATCGCAGACATTCGAATTCGAAATCGAAATCGGACTCACAGTCAGGCTCCCTTACTCATATGTTTCGGTACATTACCGTATATTGGAGCATTGCAATTTTTAGTAAAATTAGTGGTTGATAGTAGCACTGTTATAAAAATTTCCGCCTAGAGCTGCTTAGATCCCGTCTAGGTACTAGGCGGCTGGCCATCATCCCAATTAATGTCTAGGCGTTTGAAAATTAAGAAATAGCGCCTAGACCTGCTGAGGCGCCCGCCCAGACCGGCCTAGACACCTGCATAGGTTGCGACTCACTTAGATAGAAAATAGATAACTTTCCTTTTGTATTTTATTATTTTCAATAAATTGTAAGATACTTATTGAACACTTAAATAAACACACATGATATATTTGCTCCCCGTGTTTTCATTATGTTTCAATACTTCATAATATATATGTCATTCTATTTTCTAGTTTATGATGAAATTATATATATTTTAAGTATAAACAGACACTTATTTATATGAAATACAATAGATTTACTTAAATCCGCCTAGGCTCTGCCTAGCCGCCTAAGCACTAGTCTCCAGTCCACCTCCCGACTAGCGCCTAGCGTCTTTTAAAACATATAATAGTATACTTTGCTTAGCTTAGAGATGGTAAATTTTGGCACATCTTATCACTAGGGAACATTAGTGTAGCTTTCTGTTTAGTCCAATTTCATTATGCAATTGGGTATGCGTATTATCTCATCATTGCGTATTAACCTGCCCAAAAAGCCCATATTTCTTTCTCTTATTAGTATCGGCATGTTGATAATTGCTTTGCTTTTTGTTTTTGGTCGAATCATTGCGAGTTCATCCCAAACAAGGCAAAATGATGATTGCTAGTAGCCACCGTTATGAAATTAGAGTAGAACCTTAGGCCATCTCCAACCTAAGGGTCTAAAGGGCCGAAAATAATCCTAAAACCGTCTCCAACCGAGAGTCAAGCCAAAGGGCTCGTGGGCCCCATTGGACAAAAAAGGGCCAAATGACCAACCAGCCGTCCCCAGGCTGGGCTAAAAATTTTGAATCTCAATGGCTAGCTGACGTTAACTAGCCGTTATTTTTTATTTTATTTTATTTTTGAGCCAAAAATTTAAAAAGAATATTTAATTAAGGCCATAAAGGTGATTGGTTCTATGTGGGGATGTTGCTTTTATAAGCATGTTTGATTGCTCAAACCTCTCCCACATCCGATGTGGGACAAATATAATGGGTGTCCAAAATATAAGCTTCCTATTAGAGATGGTATATGTGCCTTTATACATGGTAAATGTGCATTTAATTTAAGTTGTTGTAATTTTTAAATTTAAATAATATGTTTGGCCCTATGGCCCTCGGTTAGAGATGATTTTTTGTAACGAGGCTAAAACAAGCCTTATGACCTTTTGGCTCTCAGTTAGAGATGGTAAGAAATATGGCACTACACTGTTCATTAAAATATTAATTTCTTGGAGGGCTAGAGGGCTAAAACGAGCTCTCTGACCAGCATTTTGTTAGAGATGGCCTTATAGATCACGTATCAATGATGATTGTTGACAGCAAGACTCGAAGCTTAGTGAGGCAAGACATAAGACAAAGATTTTACCAACTGAGCAAACCCTCATGACTAACCATATATTCTTTTGAATGTTAATGTGGAGAATTAATAATTTTTTTGACGAATAACTTATGTGTCTATCTTTTTCATCGTAGAATGCGTGTCATTGTATACATCCCAGGACCAAAAAAAAGGGGAAAAGAAACAAAATTTGGTATAATGGTAGGTAGATGGCCATCTATTCATTAATTTAATTGTGTAGCCTTTTTACTACTAATAAACACCTAAATGTCAAATCATAGCTGCATTTTACAGAAGTTGTTTATTGATGATGGTTCAGTGGATTGGCTGAATCCACGTGCGTGGATATTAAGCTAACGAACAAATAACAAAAGAAGAATGAGAGATTTTCTCGTGTGCTTACCTACTCGGAAAACAAAATGTTACATTATGTGTAATAATATAAAGACTAATTTTTATGTACGTCTATTCAAACTCGATTTTTATTTTACTTTATTCTTTAAAATTCAAAAGTCATAATTTATTTTTGTAAACTCAAAATTTACTTTATATTGCCTTGTTAACTTTAAATTTGTTAAACATTTGCTAAATTTGCCTATCATGCATTTAAACTATATATGTGGCAGAACCACCACCCAATAAGATTATCCACCAAAAAGGCCACATGTCCAAGACGAGAGATTTTTCAGTGTGACTGTCACACGAGGTGGTACATCACGTGTTCCTATATAAATGGTGAGATGTGTATGTTAAAAGATTAATAATTTAAAAAATAAAATTTTTCACTACTTACATAAAAACATGTGGTGTGCCATATGTATTCTTGTAGCTTCCTCTACCTCGCCGCGTGCGAGCTCGTTGATGGATTGAAGTCCATGACCAAACCGGCGGCGTCTCGCCCTACCTCTTCCAGGCTACTTGTATCTTCCACTTTCAGTCATCTAGACATTTTTTGAAAAGTATCAGAAAAAGGGAGCCTTTAGAGAGAAATTGTGTATGAGTTTAAAATTTTGAGTTTGACTTTGGTGCATCTAAAAAGAGAGAGAGAGAGAGATAAAAGACGCGAGAGGTCGTTCAGAGGTGAAGGAGTTCTCGACCGCGAGATAGGGATAAAAGACGCGAGAGGTCATTCACCTTTTATTGGGTTTTGGTTTACGAATTTGATTTAAAAATTTGGTCTACTTAACATTATTCATTTTTAATTACATCATCATATTTGATGATTTTTAGACAATATTAACAGAAACAAGGCAATATGGAGCGAATTTTAGGTTTTATAAAGTAAAGTGACGATTTTTTAATTTCAAGTTGCAAAAGATCAAAATCAAGTTCTATGATACACAACTAAGAATAAGCCTAATATAAATGAAAAGATGATACAGTTTTTAATGCCTCTTTACTTACATTATGACATGCGGTACACACGCACGTGTTCATAGTACACAGAAAAAAATTTCTAGCACAAAACCTGTTATACCATAAAACAATGAGAAATTTTTTTAGTGTTCTAGTAACACGGATCAATACAACAAATGTCATAATACAAATGGTTAAAATTTTATCTAACTATTTATATTATGACACTTGATGTACCAAGGCTTCGTTGAACCAAATCTACAACAGAGCGATCATCCATGTAAAATCCGCAGCTTTTCATTACACGTCACAACACAGTAGCTTTTTAGCCGTTTGATGTCCCAAATGCCACAATCGAACCTGCGATCAAGGTCTAAAATATCGATATTATCCCGATATTTCTATCGAAATTTCCGTGTTTTTGAACTACCGATATTTCCGATATCATCGATATTTTAGACCTTGATAGGAACTCTATGTGGTACTAAGTCACTTATGTATCTTACCATGCAATGTATAAAGTGTAAAATATTGTACTAATTCATTATATATAAATGATTATGGTGTGTTTAAGTTTCTTTCATTAATTACTACATATTTTATAGACTCACAATATTTGCTAGCTCGCTATATAATCAACTTAAATAAGTTAAATACATCATGCAATGCATTTCCTTCCATTTTTTTGTGATAAACGAATAGATAATTGACTAAATAAACATCGTGCAAAGTTTCAATAAAAATTTCCAAGATTTTCTTACAATTTCCGTGGTTTTTATTCAATTTTTATTGATATCGATAATATCTCGATATTTCCATTGAAATTTTTGTTTTTTTAAACTACTGATATTTTCGATATCATCGATATTTTAGATCTTGCCTGCGATGATGATTGCTCCTCTTCGAAATCCCTACAGTAAGAACTACACTCTTCAATACACAGCGAGTACGTCCCTTTTCCAGAGTCTCGCGTCTGGGCGCTTCGCCAAACCCAAATGTCAGCTGGCCGTGCACAGAACGTCGAGATGACCGCTCTGTTAGAAAACGACCCAACATGATTAATTCTTCGGATCTTTTTTTTAGGATCTTGAAGATACGTAAATTCGGTTCGTTTATTGTATATGTGTAGTTAATTTTTGTTAAATAATGTTTATGTTTAATTTTAAATAAAAATATTTGAAATAATTTATGACTGTATAATATACAATAAACGAACAAAATTAACAAATTTTCGGAATTCTTAGAAAGAGGATTCGATGAGCATCCGGATTCGAAAACGACAACAAAAGCGAAATAGCCGCTTCGTCTCAAGTCTCAACCCCCCACTCTCTCCTTCTCCACTCTCTGAGCTCCCACCACCACCACCGCCTCACGCCAATTTCTCGCCCGTTTTACCGCGATATTTCCCCCCCTTCCATCCGCCATTTCTCTCACACACACTCTCTCTCTCTCTCTCTCTCTCTCTCTCTCTCTCTCTCTCTCTCACCGTCTCACGTACTAAACGTATTAAAAAAATTTCAAACTTTGAATTCGGATTTTTCTCTTCCGGAAATCAATTCGATTCCGGAAATCCGTATTCTTTTGTTTTCGTAGTTTTTCTCTGACAGAAAAAGAATCGTCTCCGGAGCTTGCGGGTTTTGTTTGATCAACAAAAACAAAAGCTTGAAGCTTTTGGTTTCTTCAGGTAATATAATTTCCCTTTTGTATTATACATATTATAGTTGTATATGTTTGTATACATTTGTTTATTGTATAATTTATATTAATTCCCGAATTTTCGAGAAAAAAAAAAGCAAAAACAAAAACCTAAAACCCTAGAATGTGCTGATTTTTACATATTTTTGTATTTTTACATAATTTTGTGTTTTCGTTTTTGGGTTTTGGGTTTTGGGTTTTGTATATGATTTGGTTGAGCTGTGAAATTAAGGTTTGAGCATGAGCTTGATTTTCCCGGGAAAATATTTTTCCAGGAAATGGGAATGGTGGGGACGCGATCTACTATATCCCTGGAGGGGGATTTGGGTTCTGCACCTGGACCGGAGAAGCTTGAAGTTCCAGGGGAGAAGACGAGCAGCGAAGTTGTGAACGACTCGGGTGGAGGCCGGTCTGGCTCAGGTGGGTCCGGTCGGGGAAGTGCCGGCGGTGGAAGGAGTTTTGGGAACCTGAACGTTGATGTATCTGATGCTGAGGAGGGTTTGGTGAAGCTGAAAGGGAAGGGGAGTGTTGGGAAGTTGGAGTCGGTTTTGAGGAACGAGAAGAAGGCGGTGAGTGGCGGTGCTGAGGCGGAGAGTGGAGGGAAAGGAAGAGGGGTTGGAGAAAACGGGGGTTCTTTGGGTGGGATTGGAGAAGGCCCGGATGGGACTGAGACTCGTGAGGCCGGGACTGATGTGAACGGAGGAGGGATTGAAGAGAATGGGAGCTGTTTGGATGGGATTGGAGAAGACCCGGATGGGAAAACTGATGAGATTACTGAGGACATGGATGATGAGGGACATGAGTTTCTTGTTGGGGATTTCGTGTGGGGAAAGATTAAGAGCCATCCGTGGTGGCCTGCACAAATTTGTGATCCTTCGGACGCTTCGGAGTATGCCCTGAAATTGAAGGCCAAAGACAGGCTCCTGGTGGCGTATTTTGGGGACGGAACATTTGCTTGGTGCAATTCTTCGCAGCTGAAACCGTTTGAGGAGGATTTTAGGAAGATGTCTCGGCAGAGTAGCTCGAAGGCATTTGTTAATGCTGTGCAGCAGGCTGTGGATGAGGTTGGAAGGCTTGTGAGGTTGAAGATGAGTTGTATATGTGTAAAGGAAGAGTTCCCAGGTGAGGTTGGTCGGCCGTTGGCAGTAAATGCCGGAATTAAGGAAGGAGTTCGTGTGCCAGAAGGCAGGGTTGGGAAGCTTTTGGATCGTGTTTCTGAGCCTGCAGAGCTTCTTGCTGAGTTGAAACGTGTTGCAGAAGTTATGTCCATGTCTAGTGAGCTTGAGCTGAATGCTTTAAAGAGTTGGTTGTCTGCATTTTATTGTTCAAAAGGAGGCTATCGATTGCCTGTTTTTGTCGAAGCGCAGCCAGTTCCTGGTCTCGAGGATGATTGGAGGGAGGTGGATGTCCCGGTCCAAGGGCCATTCGAAGACTGGTTTTCTTCTCCCAGAAAAACAGGACAAACTGATCAACCTTTCAACGAAGGCTCAGCTCAAGGTTTAGAGAATAGGCAACACCAAAGAAGGAAGCAGAAGAGCATTGCTGATCTTATGGAAGAAGACGATGATATTCAGGCGGAAACTAAGGAAGGAGCAACCTCAGAGAAAGCAGGGGCATCATCTGGACGGAACAAGCGGAAAGGTGGCGAGAATCATAGTGAGAGTAATTTGACTTCTGAATCCGGAAAGAGAAGGGCCAAGCTTTCAAAGACGCCAACAAGCTCGCATATGAAAAAACTTTCAAGTGTTGGTGCTAGTGAAACTAAGAACGGTGTCTTAACAAGGAGCAGGAAGAAGGATGAACGTATTGCAATTGATGGCAATGGTGGCGAGACCAAAGAAGAAGCTGGCGATAGTCCTGTTTCAAGAGACGAGGAATTGCGCAGTGGCGGTTCACAAACTGACATGAAAGACCAAATTGATCACCCCTCTTCGACAAGAGAGAGGAAAAGGAGCAAGTACTTGTCCCCTCCCTTCATAAATCTAAGGACCGGAAAAAGGAGTCTAGACATAGAAGTAGAATCTCCGAAAGTTTCTAATGACAACCTTGTTGGGTCACCGAAGATGCTGAGTCCTTCCGCGGAGACATTACAGAAGAAAGACTCTACAGAACTTACTGGGAATGAGATAATTGGTGGCTCGAGTTCGAAAAAACCATCAGAAGATGAGAAGAGCATTGATCCGATGAAAGCTAATGTATCTACTCATAAAGTGCTATCTGGACTCCGCTCTGCAGCTGTTAATCCATCATCTCGAGTAGAAACGAAATCCTTTAAGATTGTTGGGGATTTCATGTCCATATTCAGAGACTCGATTTATCGCAATGGCTCCAACTACGAACTGTACAAGAAGAAGCAACCTCATAAGAAGAGAAAGAAGTTAGAATCTGAACCTGGCTCAATGGGGAAAGACCGAAATCAGATCACAGAAAAGCTGCCCGAAACTGACTCTGGGAAGAAGAGAACCAAGAAGAGCAGCGAGACAAAGTCCGATAAGTCTACACAAAAGCAAGCTACTGAGACATCAGGTTCAGAGCCTGGTAAGCGAAAATCAAAGAGTGCTTCTGGAACTCCGGATTTGAAGAAAAGGCGTAAGAAGACCGATGAAACAGCTTCACCTGCATCCCTTTTTGTGACATTTGGCCCCGGGTCCTCTCTCCCCACAAAATCCGATCTTATCAAGATTTATGGTAAATTCGGAGAGCTGAACGAAACAGAAACAGAGATGTTCTACACCAATTTCTGCGCTCGTGTTTCCTTTGTAAAATTTGCCGATGCACAAGAGGCCTTCAACCATTCGCAAAATGACAGTCCGTTTGGAGCTGCCAATGTCACTTTCCGGCTTCATAATCTGGCAGCTGCTTCGAAGCTTCGCGAGCTGACTGAAATATCCAATTCTGCTCCTGCTAAGAAGTCCAGGGGCAAGACCAGAACCCAGGCATTAGCTTCGCAGCCACCCGCCGCGGTTGGTGAGGCGTCACAAGTCGACTTAATCAAGCGGAAACTGGAGGGGATGACCTCAATGCTGGATGATTCAACCGGCCAAGTGTCGGAAGTGACGAAATCGAAACTGGAGAGCGAGATAAAGGAGCTGTTGGGGACGGTAAGCACGATGGTCTAATCGTCGTCGTAGATGGGTTTCTATGCTAGGGTAATTTGAACCTTTTGTTTCTGCACACAATCCCCAGTCATGTGATATACTTAGTGAGCGAGTGCGTAAGCAGGCGAAGTTAGTATATCTCCATGTAACTAGTTGCTTCGACCTATAAATATAGAGATCAAAAGGAGTTATGTTTGATGTAAATTTCAGTTTTCTTCTGTGTCTTCCGAACGGAGCGACGCGAAACTTCCGAGGAGACGCAGAAGCAACATGGATAATGTTTCAAGGATGAACAAGTATGGCAAAGAGAAAGAGTGTTAAGCCGAATATTAGATGAAGAACAAGAAAGCTCGAAAACGAGCCCCCAAACAGATTGCGGTACAACACGAACTGCTGCTCAAGTTTCATCGTACATATTAGTGTAACTCCCTCTGCGTATGATTTGGAAGAATTTAAATTCACACGACAGAAGCAACACATTTAATTTGTTCCCACTTGGTTTTTAGGTACAAGGGTCTGTTGTCGGAAGAGTACTGTATTGACGGAATAAGGAAACAGAGAATACACATTCCGGTGATACTCAGTCATCGACGGGATCCTGGGGTGTTTCCTCTGCGCTGCGCTTGATTGTGATGACAGGGCACTCAGCGTGCTTCACGCAGAACTCGCTCACAGTCCCAACAAAAACCCTGCATATAAAAGAGAGAAGGGAAATTCTATTAGTGAATTGGATAGCCTTATTAGAACTGCAACAAAAAGTTTTCGGTACTATTTATTTTAACGACAAACTACATTTTTATACAAAAAATCAAACCTGGTACTATTCACTTTCCTCTTTATTTGGTCCTTATCGTTAAAACTCAAAGTTTTCAAACAATTTTCATTAGTTTTCCTTATTATCTATGATAGGCATATAACCCAATTATCCGCTAGTTTCAAAAGATGCGAGAAAAGGACGTCTGCAATCTAAGAAGGCTTGGAACAGTCGATATTAAGGTAAGGACTTATACCTCTGGAAAGGTCCAAGCCCCCGACAGCCCACCACCAGAAAGTCTGGCCGGACACGCTTCACCTCACGGCAGATTACTTCCTTGGCATCCCCTCTTTTGATCCATGCTTCACAAGCAACCTACGATAATTCCAATAAGTAGATGTTATCTTAAAGTACAACTCAGTATTCTTCGGATGCAATTATTTATAGTTGCCCTCCATCCCAAAACACAGAAGTCCGTACCCCAATTGCATTACATCTGTCAACGAAGAACTCCAGCAGATGAAGCCCTCTGGCGCGGTCTCTGTCCTTCATGTTTTTAAAATCCTCCGGCGATGCATAGACACTGTCCATGTCATCAAAACCTATTATAGAACGAGGGCAAAACATATTATTATCGTAACAATTAGTTGCCAGCTAATGCATAGCGACGAAGATGGGTTAAAATCACATCATTACTAAGAAAGAAAAAAGCTCGGAGGGGTTTTCGGACAATCAAAATGAAGTGTTAAGCACGCTCAAATCAACAAGAATAAACAGAAGCTCAGTTAGATATAACTGGACCATATGTAAAGTGATTGACATTGTTCATACAACAATGAACTCATATCAATTCGGGATCATAATTTCTCTATGCTATGATCACAGTTGATACTAGAGAACCGCATCGACAACAATTATGATCATGATCACGATGTTTGGGTCACACAATGCCTTTTGACACGACGAGAAAATACATGAAGCACGCTATACTCAAACAGAAATGAAGTCACCCTATCAAAGCAAACATAGAGATACAACCATAAACAAAGTAAAATTGCACAGAAAATGGTCAGATCTCGTAATCAAACTCAAAATTGAAAGTCAATGTATAAATATTCGCCACTTAAACGAACTAGAAAATCGACCATAAAAAATGAAAGAAGTGATCAGACTACTAAAATGCTATCAAGTTCTCCCGTTCGGTACCAAATTCTACTGAAAATTGCTTAATTACGCAGCAGATTAGATGTAATCAACAATCATCGCCTATTAATTTCAGTTTACAAACCAAATGACACTGACAAATTACTCATAGCGAAGCCAATTTAGTACTCTCACACAATCTGCGATCCCCTAACCCTCCTGATCCAATTATTTCACTTATTTCACTAATTTCCAGTAGAAAATTACAGTTACGCTTTCAATTTCCTTATCCTTTCATTTTCTATTCAAATTCCTCCGTTTTCTCGGCAACCAAACAGAGCACAAGCACAATTACAAAATCGAAAATCACAAAAGTAATAACAGAAAGATAGAGCGAGAGAGATGACCGTCTTCATCGGGGACTTGGACGTGCAGGAACTGGAGCTTGAAACCACTGGTGTTGGAGCGCACGATCTTCTGGAGCGTCCACTCGAACGCCTTCCTGCTGCTGATGGAGGCGTGCGGGTAGCCCTTGATGGTCGACTCGTTCACTGCCAGCATTATCCGAGTTGGCTCGCTTGCCATCTTCGCTTCGCTCACGACACTGAGTCGACTCGCTTGCTGATTCGAACTTTCTGGAACCACAGTACTCTCTCTCTCTCTGATGAAGGCGGTAACCGAAGGATGACTTGCTTCGTTTTGTGGGTTCGCAGCCGTAGGCCCGATTAAGCACATCGCGCATCTAGGCGTAGGATAGGGCATATCCAATAGAAGGGTGCTAACCTACGCTGTTCAGTTACTGACAGTGTGCCACGCGGCAGTATATAAAAGCGTGTGTCATGCCATGGTTTGCCAAAAATCAACCGGATCCCCTCCTTAGAAGGCTCTGAGCAAAGTATCTGGACCGTTGAAATTTGATTCAACGATCGTAATTATTATAACTTTAAAAAAATTGTGTTTGTAACCGTTGTATCAAATTTCAATGGCACGAATCATTTGCTCAGGAGAGTATCCGGTTCCTGCCAAAAATTGACCGGGTGTGAAGAGTCTTTATCATCTAATTGAGTCATTTAAGGTCTAAACGTGGTTAATTACTCTATCGCCATTGTATTTTTTTTTCTTTTATGTTCTTTAATTTTTTTTTCAATTGACTAATTCAATCATTCAATATTGACAAGTATGTGGATAAATTTACCATCAACATATCACTTACATAAATAATATTATCGATACTTTAATTACATAATTATTTACTTATTTGTGAACATAAGTTTATGTGGCAAGTAACTGATGACATGACATCAACTTATTGAAAACACCACCAAACGGCCTCTCCTTAAGTGAATAAACAATGTCTTGTTTAAGGTTGTGGTTATTCGTGTGATTTAGCCAAAATCTTTTTCTTTAAAATAGAATACCACTAACTTATTTTGTTTTTTTTTCTAATCTATGGTATATCCTTTTCCATCTCGAGAGATTTTTTCAATGTGTTCAAAACACAAGGCATAACATTATATATCATAATATAATTGAAGAGATACTTAAAAAAAATACTCTTTTAATTGTATAATAACATTTAATGTTCTCCTCTCATTCCAATCGCACCGAAAAATCTTTCTCAATCCCACCAAATGTTACATTGACAAATGTAACATTTCATTACCGCCAATGCTACCGACGTCGGGTTGTTCATTTCTCAACTTAACTCATGATTTGAAAAGATTAATATGGTGTAAGTTCACAGGTGATACTGATAGCAACACCTTGCAACAAACAAAAATGTGAATATTAATGAGAGTAATTAAAAGGATGGTTATCTTAATTTTCTTGAAAAAGGCAACCAACTCCCAGTTTTCTCTTGCTCTCGTGCTGCCCCCTGTCACTCTTCCACTGCCACAAACTCTCCTATTTCCTCACTCACTCTCCGTCTCCAAAACTACTCCATTTTTTATGATTTATAATTCGTCTACGTGGTGAAATTTTAAATATGTCGAGAATTGTTCCGTATAATAATTGTTATAATACAAGTGGTTAGATACTTATATAAAAAATTTCAACCATTTATATTATATTTTTCACACTTGTAGTTTCTTCTCCTCCTACGCATTCTTTATTTTCGCCTATCAATTCCCCTGCGATATATTCAATTGTAACGCTAACAAAAGATTTGAGTGCAGAACGAGAAAATGAGACTGCGTAAATCATTTCTCTTCCGTAAATAAGAAACAATTAAACAGAAAGCAAAATTGAATACAAATTAAATTACATTACACAAACAATTATCGTATACAATTAACTTACGTTCCCTAATTGCCCCTTATTACCCAGAGATTGAGTACCAGTAAAGGAAACTCTCCCAAAACCCAGGTGTCCAATCTGGTACAACTCTAACCACACCCTCTCCGCCTCCAGCCTCGCACCACCGCACTCCGTTTCCTCCTCGCCGTACCCGCCGCGCCGTGAAACCTCAGGCTGTTTCCTCTCCTCCTCCCCTCTCTCCACCACCCACTCAATCCCGCTTTTACTACTCCCACCCCCCTTGCATTTTCTCCTCTTGTTTTCCCGCTTCTGCCCCTTCTTTTTCCCCAATCCCAGACACTTCCTCCCCACCATCCACGGCACTTTAACGAACGCCAGGGTCAGAAAGTTCACCACGGCGCAGGGGCAGCAGCAGAGCGCCACGCAGTCCGCGATCAACGTACCGCTGCACGACTTGCAGTACCTCCCCGTGCACTCTATCCGGTCCCCCACGGCGTCGTCCGCGGCGTACCGGCTCTTCCGCGCGGGTGTCGTGGTGTGTCCCGCGGATGACGTGTGACATGCTCCGCGATGGTCGGACGACTCGGACGATGACGACGAAGACGACGACGAACTGCCGTGGTGGTTACGTAACGCCCGAGGCGGGTTATTGTCGTCCATCGGATTTTATCTAACCTGCAAAAGATGAGAGATTTTGTAAATTTCAACGGTGATGCGGGAGGAGCGTAGATTTTGATCCCGAGTTTCTGGGGAGGGGTTTTTCCTACATGTTTATGCTTTATACTGGGACGTGGGAGGAGGGAGATGCAAAGATATTATTTTCTTTCATGCATTTTTATCTTGGTAAATACAAAAGGGCAAAATGGTCCATAAACATAATGTAAGGCATCGTAGTTCAATAATATAATGTAAAACATTCATACCAACTTCCCAGCACACTGAAATTTTTTTCCATGTCGTGACGGAAATTATGGGTAAAATTTATATGCAAAAGGGGTAAAAGATGTACAAAATGTTTATTGACTAGTTTTGGCAGATGAAACCAAGGCGTTTGGATGACAAATGTGCCTCATTAACGTGGATTTTCACGTGAAATGACAGGCATAGTGAATGAGCCAGTTCAGTATTACTTCATTCGTGGGGCAGAGATTTGAGGGTTAAAACTTTTCGTAGTGTGTCGGAAAATTTGAGTCTTAAATTTAAACGTTGAGTTTAACAGATTTTTAGTTCTTATAATAGGGAATGTTTATTAAACTTGCCTATTAGAACAATAGTGTTATTGGGTTTTTCTTAGTAGGTCGAAAAATTTAAGTCATGTAAAAAACCAAACTCACACCGTAAGTTGACATGAGAGACGGAATCAAATTCAGACAACCCGATTCCTATATGCTTGTTGTGAAAAACATAAGGGGCAAATTGGTAGATGGAGTGGTAGTGGTGACAGACAGAAGGGCACATATAGACTGATAGTGCAGCGCAGTAAGAATTAGGGTTTTTGGTTGAATGAATGCATGGAAAGAGGTTAAAAGGCAAGGTAGAAAATGGAAAGGGGAGGAAAAAAAGTTAAAACCTGAGTTTATGAATAAGTTTCCCTCAATGTGTTTTCGTGAGACAAATGATCTCTTCGTGTCTCGGCCTAATTCAGCTTTCTTACAATTTATGGTTTGTCCTATCTCTCCATTCACCTTCCACCAATCAGTTTAATTTTTGTCTAAATATAATAACTTTTTCCTACCACACCAACTTTTACGAGTTGAGATCTTCCTCGGATCTCTGTGTCCAGAGTCCAAGAGTAGAAGATTTGGGCCGTTGAAGAGAGAGAGAAATCCGGACTTTTAGTTTGTGTGAGGTGAACCAACGAAATTGACTAATGAGAATCATATTATTTAAAATTAGTGATTCGGATTTTTGAGTCCGTCAACTCCAGACACAATGATCTAGAGAGGATCTCAATTCAACTTCTACATTAAATTTATTATCTATTTTACAAAAGATGAGATATTTATGTGGTTTCCTTGTGTAGCCAAGTTTGAATTTACCACGACTAGAAGGGTCGCAAGTATTAAATCTTATAAAACAGTTAAAATTATAATAGTTTAGGTTTGATAATTAAACTAGGTCCCTTAACGTCGTACCCTATAAGTTGTTTTTCTCTCTTTTTTAAGAGCGGTATTTATTAAAACTTTAACAATACATCTAAGAGGTCCAAAAAACACACATATGAAAATTACTTTGAAAACAATAATATCAAAAATTTAAAGTAAAGTAGACAAAAATCGCAAAATGAACATTATTTCAAGCTCTAAAACAAAGAAATTTTTTCGTATGTTCGGAACACAGGTTGGTATATCAGTCATTATACAATATGGAAAAAGTTTTTTTTTTCAAGTATCTCTCCAATTGTATAATAACATGTAACATATCGCTTGAAAATCTCTCCTAAAACATGCCAAAAGTCATGTGAAAAAGCAAATGGAGGTCTCTTTATCCAAAAAAGACAATTAGATAAAATTGAATAACTTTTGTCAGAGTGAAATTCGATAGGAAATGTTACCATAAAATTGATGCTATGAGTTTTATATATACTGAAAACTATACTTGATTGTCTTAATGCACTGCCAAAATCAACACACATCAATTGCACGAGATCCAGATTGTAGATTTGGGGGAAAAAGTATGAATTGAGATCCTCTTCGGATTTGTGTCTGGAATCCGAAAATTTGGATAAGTTATTTTAAATTATGTGGCCCCTATTAGCCCATCTTTCTGACTCACATCACCTAAACCAAGGGTTCATATCTCTCTCTATTCAATGACTCGGATCTCTAATTCCCTTATCTCCGGACACAATGATCCAAAGAAGATCTCGATTAAAAAAATATTACCATTTTTGAAGCATTTATCAAATCTCGTGTTCTAATAAAATATTGTCAATGTGCTGCCAATTTTTAAGTTCTGATCCATGGAAGTTCACATGGGGCCTATTCGCCTAAGATACGACCATGATTGAAAGAAAAAAATTTTAAGAAATACAGACACACAAAACTGATTACATTAACTCTGCATTAATACAAATAAATTCTAAAGATGTATCAGTAATGTAACATTTATTTTATTAAAAAATGTATTAGCAATGTATAATCTAGTTTCATCCATCCCAATTGTCAGGTCTAGAAAGCAGAAAGAATCATTTTGAAAGAAACGACATTAAATTTGGGAAAGATTCCAATGCGAAAACCAAAAACGATGAGATGGGAATTTGCAGTTTTGGGTTGTTGACTGAGGCAAAAGAGGATTAAAAAACTAATAATAATTAATTAAAACATGGAAAAGAACAATGGCATGAAATTAAAGTCATTAATCAAATTTAGAAAAAGAAAGTATCACAATCATACATATATAGTATATAGATATAAAAAACGGTGGATCTGAACTAATCGTTTGTTTGACTGATCACATGTGAGAAACTAGACTGTGAACTGAGAAATTTTTTTTATTGTGTTGGGAATACAGTCTGGTACACAAAATATATTGATACAATTAGTTTAAATTTCTTTGTCAAATTTTTAATTAATTATATTATTATATATAATGTACTGAGGCGTGTTCCGACACACTGAAAAAATCTCTTAAGAACTAAGGGAGATGCATGTCCTAGTCATTAGTAGCCAAATGAAAAACCTTTTGATTATTTCATTATTTGGCGATAATATTTTGTCTAGTGATTTTTTTTAATCACAATTGGATGTTTAAAACTCATTTCAATTAAAGTGTAACTTTCAATGATGACTTCAAAAATGATCGCTCTAAATCATGGATAATATTTGTGCTGTAGACTTGAATAAGCAGTTAGCGACGTATAAACTTATTAACTGATTAACGATTTAATAGTAGCATGTATAAAGTGAGTGTATATATGAACAGTAAAATCCCCCTCAAATTCCAATCACTTGTTGTATTACGACATTTGTTGTATCGTATTTCAGTACACTGATAAATTTCTCCTTAACAAGCATATGGATTTAAATAAAAAGGTTAAATATGAGTGGGACCCATCCGCAGTAAATCAGCCAATCACCAATTGAGCAATTATAAAAGGTAATTCGATTGAGTGAAAAAAAATCACTCACTAAGAAGCACAGCAAATCATATATCACATCAGATCAATGGCTTGCAGTTGCATGAATTGTCTAGCAATATCTGATCTACATTCCACATTTTTTTCTCTTCATTCGAGTTCGAGCGATAGTCTAATCTAATCTACACTACGATGCGCGTGTTTATACAGAGATTTGTATTCTAAACTACGGGAAAATGAATGAATGAGAGCAGTAATGCAAATGTGTATAAAGTGAAAGAAAGAACTGACCTGGAGAAGCAAGATCAAATCAAAGGTTGAGATTTAAGTCAAAGGATGTGATCTTGGGTCGACTCTGGATGATGAGAAAGCTCGATCGTTGGAATACAAAGCGAAATGGGTAATGAAAGATGAACAAGTTGGAAGTTCGATCTGATCGCAAATGCCCAGATTGTATATATTTCCACCGCTTGTTTATTATCTCTGCAAGCAGAAGAACGAATCACTGAACTCTCTTTCTCTCTCTAGCTCTCTCCCGGTTGTTTATGTAACATCGATCTGCTAGCAGAAGAAATAGAATCAATCAACTCTCTCTCTCTCTCTCTCTCTCTCTCTCTCTCTCTCTCTCTAGCTCTCGAGAAATTTTTAGTTGTAACGGAAACACAAATGGTACATTACGTGTTTTAATAAAAGCGGTGATAAATTTTATTTTTTAAGTTATTAACTTTTTAGCATAAATATCCTATCATTTGTATAATGACACGTGATATAACATCCCGTGTATCAATCATACTGAAAAATCTTTCTAGCTCTCTCTGAGTCTGTGCTACTTTAATCTATTGTTTACTGACTTGTAAAACTTTGTTAATGAAAGCAAAAGATTTTCTTATATAAAACTCTGCAGAGAGAGAGAGAGAGAGAGAGAGAGGGTGAATGAGTGAGGGAGAGTTGAGAGAATGATGTGAGAGAGAGAGAGTGAGCGCATTGGCGTTGGTTTTCATGAGTACCGATGACAGCGAATATAGGGAACTGTTCCTCATCTACCCTGCTCTTTTTCCACTCTTCCTCCTCCATCCTGCTCTCTGCTGCTGCCCTAAACCTCTCCGTTTATTTCTCCGTTACCGTCAGTTTGGGATGGCTTCGTAAAAAAAGAATAAATTGGAGCAATGATCTTTTAAATAAATATCTATTACCATTGGCCCCTTAATTCATCAAAATATGTAGCTATAGTTGTTTTCGTCAACTTCGTTAGAATTCTGTTAAAATAAGTTATGTTTGAATGACTATTGCTACAATTGGGGTTCCTCAACTAATCAAAATGTGTAGCTATAGTCATTTTTGTCACCTTCGTCAAAATTTTGTCAAAATGAGTTATGTTGGAAAGATCATTGTTACAATTGAGTTAAAGTTTGAGGGACCATTGCTCCAATTGAGTTAAAGTTAAGGGACTATTTCTCCAGTTGGATTAAAGTTGAGGGACCAACGGTAATAAATTTTTAATTGAGGGACAATTTCTCCAGTTAGGTTAAAGTTAAAAAATCATTGCTACAATTTACTCTTAAAATACACTTTTGCTTGTAATCAATTCTACCAGAAATGTTTTTGTCAATAACAGGTCAACTCTAGTTGCTTCTTGCATCCAAAAATCCTTTTCAAACTTTTAGTTCTAAACCTTTTTAGAAATCGTTTGAGATTGTTTCTTATAAAATATAAAGGTTTTAAGGTTAAATTTGAAAATCCCTAATTTCAGCAATTTTATGAAAAGTGTTTTTGCTAGAGTGATTTACTTTTGAAATTCAATCGAATAGATTTGTTACTATTGCTTGCAAACCATGATTCAATTTGTAAACTTTTAACTTGGTTAATTAAACAATTAAATAGGAATTACAAATATTTTTAACCAGCATATGGATATGGTTCTCAATTTTCAAGCAGGACCTTGTAAGCTGTCACACGACCCACCACCCACATATATATTACTAAATTGTTACTTTAAATTATTATTTTTTTGTTACAAAAAGTTTAGAGGGAAGGAGGCTATCTATTCTATTCCAGGATCAAGGCATAACATAAGTCTTTTTGAGAACTTACAGAAAAACTCTTAGCTCATTATTTTGGTTTTCACATATCGTGCACTAAGGGTGCGTTTGGTACGTGGGACGGGACATGACGGAACGGGACGAGGCGTTCCGTCCCGCGTTTGGTGCGCCAAAAATGGGTGGAACGGGCTGTTCCACGGGACAGATTTTGGGTGTTTTTGCGTTCCACCTCCCCCTGGAACGGGTTTGTTCCACGTCTGTGGAACACAATGTTTTACCATTTTAAGACAAATATACGCCATGTCTTTTTCAAAAATTACACCTTCGTTCCGTCCCGTCCCGTCCCGTTCCGTCCCGTTCCGTCCCGTCCCGTCCCGTCCCGTCCCGTCTGCGTACCAAACGCACCCTAAGAGAGATTGACGACAATAGAACTTAAATCTAAGCCTTGGTCTCAGCTCAACCGACCCACGTTGACAGTTGATACTCAATTAATTTTATCAAAGAAATAATAATCTTCATATTTTGTTGAAATAAATAAACAGTAATCATGAGCAGCACAATGCATGTCGAGAATATTGCCATGCATGCATCTCTCCCTGCCATCTGCATCTCCGGTTGGGTTGGGTTGACTCAGGTGGTCACGTGTCCTTGAATCTTTTTCGTAATCTTTGCATATCTCTGTTGCCGGCCATTTCGATCAAATTCTGGTCTGTTTTTCTAAACTAATTAACATTTTAACAACCATATCTGCTTCTGTATTCTCGCTAATCTAAATAAAAGCTGACGGCGGTCACTGGCCTCAAATTAGAAACAAAGGATTTAATGGGTGGAAAAAAGCTGCATGAAAAACGTTCATGGGGGCATTTTCGTTGGTAATTTGGTAAGAGGAGAAGGCAAAGCGCTGAAGGACAATCCACAGGGAAAAAACTGATATAACTCAGTATGAATCAAAATTTTTATTTATACTTATGTGTATCATATGCAAGGGTAAAATGTTCTTTTAAGACGTTGAAACGTGAGCGCTCGAGAATAAAGCAACCAATATATATATATATATATATATATATATATATATATATATATATATATATTTTTGTGTGTTGTTGTTATGTTCATTCACTTGCCTTATTTTCACCCACCATGTAATTAAAACATATATGACAAATCATATTCTATTTTTCACTCACCATGTAATTAAAATATGTGATAAATTAATATAAGCTTTGTGGGACCGTGTAAGAGCAAGTTCACTCATTTAGGGAGGGCAAGGGAAAAAGGCAAGGGCAAGGTCAAGACAGTTAACTTGCCCTTACTTTTTACTTTGAATAGTATTTGTCTTTATGCAACTCCATTCGTTGAACAAGATTATGGACAAGGGCGATACTATTCACAAATATACGTATATTTTTTATGCTTTATTGGTCTTATCCTTATCGTTCTAACTTGTTTTCATATAGAGTTTGACAGTGGGAGAGAAGCTACAAGTCTTGATTTTGCCTATTTTGAATGCTTCTCCACAAGAATATAAACTTCAAATTTAAACATTGGTATTTAAAACTACAAATTGATTTAGATAGGACTATTTTTGAACTTCCATATAGAGATGAGCAAGTCAAGGGAGAACCACTTGCTGGTACTTGTCCCACATCGACCCAATATCAGTACATAGATATAAAGCGTAATATACCATGCACAAGCCTAAGTCATTGCCTACTGTTGGAAATCTCTTTCTAGATTAGTTTTTCAGTCACCGGACCCACTTGCTGACGTCATGATGACGTCGCCCATTGCCAGCGAGCTTAAGGTCTAGCATATGTTGCCCGGGCTTTTAGGCGGGCTTCACACGGTCCACCACTTGCCCTCTTATTCTTAGACCACCTAAAGTGGTTTTTTGAGATTAAAGGGCATGTTGAGGGCCCTGCTCAAGGTCGGACATATGTTGCCCGATCTATTAGGCAGGCTTCACACGGCCCACCACTTGCCTTCTTTTTCTTAGACCACTGAAAGTGGTTTTTTTGGGATTAAAGGGCATGTTTAGGGCCCTGCTCAAGGTTAGACATGTTGCTCGATCTTTTAGGCAGGCTTCACACGGCCCACCACTTGCCCCTTTTTTCTTAGACCGCCGAAAGTGGTTTTTTTGGGATTAAAGGGCATGTTTAGGGCCCTGCTCAAGGTCGGACATATGTTGCCCGATCTTTTAGGCAGGCTTCACATGGCCCACCATTTGCCCTCTTCTTCTAGACCGCTTGAAGTGATTTTTGGGATTAAAGGGCACGTTTAGGGCCCTTACCGACACCAACGTGTGGACATGCTCTAAAAACTCTTTTTACGGTAGTTTCTCCTTCTTTGGTTAGATTAGCTAAGGAGGCATAGGCCCATAGAAAATGGGCTGAACTTGCTAATCGGACAGGGTAGTCCACTGTCCAATAACATCAACTGTGGGCTCGTAAGAGGTGTAAACCCTAAAGGCCCAGAAAGAAAAGCTTATAAAAACCCGCAACCAATGCCATCACAAACCGAAAACCCTAACCCCTGACCTGCACTTCGCAGCTCTCTCGCCGCCTCTGTTCGCAGCCCTTTCTTCTTCTCCTTCTTCTCAATTTTTGTTTGAATATTTGTTGAATTTTGTTGATCGAAGTTGTGTATGTGTAAATTTAGATGGCAACGATGAAGAGTGCTTTAAATTTCTGACACCTCTTGTATGAGAAGTGCCTGTAAAAGGGCTCTTCGCTGAGCACTGTTAGCAACTCTCTGAGCCTCCCTCTTCCCCCTTTCTCTTTTTTTTCGAAATTTATTTTTAATTTTTTTATTGCGCACTCTTTTTTCTTATCAATTTGACGATTTTCCCACAATTTATATCTGCAAACAATTTTTTTTTAAAGTTTAATTATCTTTTGTTTAATATTTTTGGTCTACGAAAATCCAGACTTTGGGTCCTAATTCTTCGATGTTAAAACATATAATTTTTTTCTTCCATGGTATATCTGAAGATCATCAATTTAAATCTCTCACTTCGTACATGTTTTTTTAATGTTGTTGTGTCAAACTCGTTATTTTATCGTGTTGTTTTGCGTCTAATAAACATGTTACGGTAGAAAATTATCGGATGTCTATATTTGGCAAATGATATCAATTTGAATTTTTAACTGGTCGACTCATTCATTAACAGGATTATAATCCACGATCCGATAATGACTCGATTCGTTATTAAGTTTATTTGAAATATGTTATTTTTGTGTCGTTTCACATTGGATTAACATATCGGACAAGAAATTGCCAAACTTACCTCGAAACATGAGAGATACTGTTAATTTAGAGATGTTCCAAAACTTTCTCACTTGCATTGCTCAACACTTTACTCACTGGGAATTATAACAACGGGGTAGAACCCTAATTGAAATGCCGGAGTTTTTTTATGAACTATAGCAGCAATGTACTCTTCCGGACAAAAGATT